GGAAAGGTACCCTTTGACAAAGCGTTAATTAGCAGCAGCAGTCACATGCTTCGTCCGTCGCCGGGCCAGTGTGTCAGGAGCGAGCGACGTGACCCTTCTGCCTCCGCCGTTGAATGGGACTTCCTTTTGACTTTCCCGTGTTGAACTTATACACACCTATCGGCTCCAAATGGCAATTTTTTGACTACGCGGGAGACGGTCCGATTGGTTGATTTAATTCTTTCATTTTTTTTTTGAGTTTATCCCAAACGGAAGTACCTGCGTCGAGCCTATGCGTAGACGTGCAGTTTTCATTTCGAGTCGGGGACTCGTGATGGTAACTTCCGTTTATCGAAGCAGGGCAAGATCTCATCTTGTCACAGCTCCCCCAGATCTTACCCTGATTTGATGTTTTGTTAGTAATGTTGTTGGTGTGTGCGAGTGAATGTTTTTTTTTTTTTTTTTTTTATAGCTCATTACGAAGTCTTGGAAGCGTGCTGGGAGTTGCCCACGTGTTTTCCATTTTGCTGTGTTTTGGCTATTATTGCCGGAACTGCAGTCATCTGTGATATCATGCTCCCCTGACGAACGTGTAGGAGGCCGTGTCAACGGGTTATGGGGGATTTGGTGGAGCGGAGATGGAGGTGGTGGTGGAGGTGACCGGCTCATGTATTGCAAATGATTTGGTCACGGTACGAGCCGACGAATATGTCCCCGGTGGACCCAATCGGTTTCGCCGTTTTTGTTTTTGACTTGGAGCACCATATCGTTAGTTCTGGTGACTTCGAAGTCGCCTATCCAAGGCAGATGTGATGAGTGGGCTATTGTGGACTGAGGTCGGTAGAGTAGCACCTTGTCGCCGACCTGTATCGGGTCCTTGAAAATCTTATGGTTCAGTTTGACTTCCATTCTGTGGTCAGCCTCGTTGTTTGCCAGGGCAACTCTTTGGTGTACCTGTCGGGGCAGGGCGTTTATCTGCATGCCGTAAGCACCAGGATTGTTGTTGATGATATCTTGACGTGGTATCTTTGGTAGTCCGATATGTGGTTGACGACCAGTGATTATGTAATGTGGAGATATGCCGGTGGCGGTGTTGGTCGTGGCATACATGGAGGAAACTACGGATTCAAGGACGTCCGTCCATTCACACTTTCTATCTTCGCAGATGATGTAGAGGGCGTTTTTGAGGGTCCGGTGTTGCCGTTCGATGTTTCCCGAACTTTGTGGTCGCCATGGACAGTGAAGTTCCCGAGTGATCGATGTTAAGTCGCAGAAATCCTTGTAGACCTCGCCGGTGAAGTGGGTTGGGTGTGTTCGCAGCGTCCCTGATCATTAGTACAGACGTTTCCGGTTCCAAGTAGAATTGATGCATGAGTTTGTTGATAAGTGCAGTGCGATGATCGTTGGGGTCAAGTATGGTAGTGTCAGGTCTTGGATCTGTCGACTGGAGGGCTCTGATGATTTTTGAAAGTGTATCATCAGAGGCTTGTTCGAGCAATACACATGTGGTCGGCGATCTTTTAACAGGGATGGTGGAAGTAGTGTGGAAAGCGAAGAATGCATCGGCGACCTGCTTATGCTGTTGGATGTCCCGAGGTGTATGTGTCCCAGGGAGTAGCTGGGAGCTCCCGATTTCATCAAGGCACCAAGATGGGACGTAGATGTTTAGGCTGGAGTCTTGGAGTTTGAAGACCTTGCCTGTGGGTGTGGGGTCCGCTGGTAATTTATCCTTGTGGCCGTGTCTCCGACTGAGCATGTCGGTCCAGACGTTCGACTCTCCTTCTACATATTCCAAGACGAACTTGTAACACGAGATTTCCTCTTGCCATCGTCGTATCTTCGCGTTGTTGAATTCGCGTTGATCCAAGTAGGTAAGGGACCGGTGATCCGTGAGGACGACGAATGGACGGCTACGGAGGAAATAATCGTATTTGGTGATAGCCCATTTTATAGCGTACGCCTCGCGTTCAGTCGTCGACCAGTTGCGCTCTGTCGGGCTAAAGGTGTGTGAGGCCACTGCTATGATTTTCTTTCGGCCGTGTTCACCCTCTTGCATGTGTATAGCTCCGCATGCGATGTCGCTGGCATCAGTGGTGAGGGTAAAGAGTCCGGAGAAGTCGGGGAATGAGATGATTGGAGGTGAAGCGAGGCGCTTCTTGATTTTTTCGAAAGCCTTGTTGGCCCTTTCCGTCCAGACAAATGTCCGTCCCGGCTTGTTTAGTTCGTTTATGGGGGCCATCAGGTTGGAAAACATGTCCGTTCGAATCTTCTCATATAGGCGTGTCTCAAGGAATTATCGAATCCATACGTGGCGTCCGATGAGACTTTGCAATTCTTTTCTTGTTGTCGGGGGTTTCATGTCGATGATGGCGCGACGTATTCGGGATCGGCCTTGAACCCGTCGCTATTCACGATGCGGCCGAGAAATTTGGCTTCGGACGCAAGGAAGACGCATTTGTCTGGATTTAGTTTCAATCCGAATTTGCGAAGAGCAATGAATAATTGTTCCAGTGCGGTTATGTATTTCTCGAAGGTTTTGGCATGGATGAGGTTGTCAATATAGGACGATATGTTCGCGCGTGAGGCCACTGTGTCCAGAGCATCGGCTATGCACCGAGAAAAGATTTGTCCCGCGGAAGTTAAACCAAAAGCCAGACGGGTGTATTGGAAACAACATCCTTTCCAGGTAAAGGCCGTTTTGTGGCGGTCAAGTTTATCAATGACGATTTGCCAGTACCGTTGCGGAGATCGAGGGTTGAAAAGTATTTGTTGCCCTCGCCAATCTTGTTGAATGTGGAATCAATGGTAGGTATCGGATACGGGTCGAGATCGACCAGTACCTTGTTGAGGGTTCTCTTGAAGTTTGCTATCACTCGGATGTTTCCGTTTTTTCTTACGGATGGCGAAAACGGGGCTGTTGAATCCCTTTTAGTCGTTGCAAGGTTCGATGATACCCTCGCTGGCCATGCGTGCAATTTCTGCATCCACGTCATCCTCCAGTGCCCGGGCTATTGGATGCTGCTTTTGGCTTCTGGACTGGCCATTGGTCGGTATGCATATGGGTCTGATGAAGGTGCCCTTGTTATTGTCGTCGATGCCGAGGATATCCGCATAGCCGATGAGCAGGTCGGCGGTGGCTTCAGTTCACTACGGTTAGGTGGTTTTGAAGCGATAGGCCTACGGTTTGTTTCAGCCAATCCAGTTTTCGGTTGAGGGTCCACCGTCAAACGATGATCTCGCTGTGACACGTGGCTCCTCGTTGGAAATGGCTTGGGCGCCGTGTGCGAGATTATGGGTTGTTGTTTTTTAGATCGAAGGCTGGGGAGAGTGGGGCAGTATGAGTTAGCTTGCCGGATGTGAGCGTGCGTGTAAATTTGATAGAAGCCTTCTGGTTGTCGATAGTATAAGAAGATAGCGTGTGGTGGCCGAGTATATTCTGTCCGATCAGAATAGGAATGTCCGATGTCGTGATCAGTGTGTCGACCTTGTGGAAGGCGGGGAAGTATGGTCGCCTAAGGTGACGTCGCAAGTTAATTGCGCAGAATAGAGACGTTCCCTCCGATTCTTTAATTCGGATGTCAGATTGGGTCATGAACTTTCTCGCTTCTTCGGGTAAGCGAGAAATTGGGACGATGCAAGTCGTGCACCCAGAATCCAACATGCCGACATCGGAGAACATAATGTCGTTGCTGCGGTGGTTGATCTGGACAAAGGGGGATCGGAGCTCGGGTAAGATCTGAAGGTTGAATATGTGATGATGGGGTTTGGATTCGGGGACCGGGGAACGATACATCACATCTCGTTCGGTCCCTGCTGAAAATCCAGTTCGTTGAAGCATGTCGAGTGCTCGGCGTTGTGTGGATCACTGTCTGCTCCGGGTAAGGTGGTATCAGTGGTCGCTATGTGAGCTTGAGCGTGGGAGGGTGAAAATAGGGACATCTGTTACCCTTGAAGCATGTACGGCCTCGTAGATAGTTTCTGCATATTGCCGGGTGGCCGGATTGGCCAGTGCCTCTTTGCGTCCGGGTGTGCTTCATGTTGGAGGAGGGGCCGGTCTGATTGTTCCTGTTGATGGTGGTTGGGTCGCGCCTGTGCGTCTGCCGTAGTTGCTCGTTCAGGTCCAGCAATTGTCGCTTTACGTCGGCTAGTATACTGTCACTTTCAAGGCTGTGAGGCTTGCCGGAGTTTGCAGGTTGGCTCGCAATCAATGCGGTTGTTTCAACGGAGGTGGTCATGTCTGTTTTGATGCCGCGATCGCGAAAGCGTTGCGCGTCGCTGGCAATACCGCCCGCTGAGTAGTGTCTATCCATGGTTTTGACGAGGTGTGGATAAATGTTGGGTGCCCATGCCTTGATCCTTTCGCTCATGAGCATGGCCCCCATTAGGGAGAAAGCGGTGTCGGCCGTCATCTCGGCATTTTGTTTGATGTGGACTGGCCTCTCGGATTGTGTTCTCAAGCCGGCCTGCAAAATCAGTGAACTTCTCCCCCTCACAGCGCTGGAGGTCCCATGTTGGAAATTCGTCATCTGGTTCCCGTGAGTGGAGACGAGGTAATTCAGTTCCTCGAACGTGGCTTGTGGATTGTTTGAGTCTTCCATCTGCTGGAAGATGCCTTCGTTAAGGAGTTGTTTTGCCAGTTTGACGAATTCTTTCTCCATCTCGGGGTATTCGCTCAACTCTGGCTTAACGTGTATCGTGTAAGCTTTGCTGAGGTCGGCGATAAAGCGGTTGACGTCATTGCCTGGTCTAAAGGCCCGGATGGAATTCGTACCGTCCCGAAGTGATTGCTGTCGCATTAATAGTTCGTAGTTTGTGGCGTATCGCGGTGAGTGTGAGCGATCATGTGTGGTAGTCTGCAGAGCGGCTAAAAGTTCGTGAAGGTCTGCTTTTAGTTCGTTAATGATCGATTGTGCTTGGGGATTGTCAGCGCGTTCCATGTCGATTTTTGTTTGGAGAATCGCTGTTTTCTTTTGCTTGATGAGTTCCAGAATTTCTGAGCGAGAGAGGCCTGAGTATTCCAT